TCTCCTTTTGGAGGCGTTCAAGGGTGTTTATCCACAGGAATGTGTACTCACAAAAGAGGTGTGCACATGTCCTCAAAGCCACCAGGTCCTGATGAGCCACACCCCTCATCGCCCTTCTTCCTTCTGTGCATGGCGCTACTGAGCGCCTGCCAAGTGAGAGGCAGGGGCTGGGAGATACAAGAATCTCCAAGACATTCTCCTCTATTTTGTAGAGCTTATGTCTAATGGAGTAGAAAGGCACGTAAGCAATTATTTTTAATACAAGGCAGGATGTACTAAATGATGTAACAGTTTCAAACCAAGGTAGTGAGAAGACAGTAAGGGAACATCAGTTCTAGCCCCCAGGGGTGTCAGATCATGTACCCCAATTTTTGGCTCAGAAATATGATCACAATATTCACCTGAATTTCAGGTTATTAACTCTCGCAGGTTAAGAATTTTAGGGCTTTTAAAAAAAGAATAATTTGTCTTTCTCTCTTTATCTAGTGTCTTTGGTTTAAAAGATGCTCAGCTCTGATGATTCATGTGAAAACGCTCTTACCCAAGGTTGATTAAAGTGGGAGACAATAAGAATTTGCTAGGAAAGCAAAAGTTAGGAAGAAAATCTGGTGAGTGTTCTTACTCCATGCTGAGTCTGAATGGGTAAACTTCTGCAACCTGGACACGCTCTGAAAAGCACTCATTTCCCATGGCTGACCTACAAATACTCAGTGTGATTAGCTTCCCCGCTTGGAAAGATAGTTCTTCCTCACGTGTCCTTTCGGGGGGAATCTCCAGCAAGAGCTCCCTCCAGCAGAATGCAATTTTAGAAAATACAGCTGACTTCTCTGGGAGAAACAAACCAACCTTGTCTTACTCTGGTCATGGAAACTAAGTTGGCACCTCATTATCACCTTGTTAGCAAGGACAGGCTGCCTGGTGGACAAACCTGGTAGGAAGGGTTGGCCCTGTGTGAACAGAGTTCTGAGTTAATCTTAATTGCTCTTCTTGTTTTTTTTTTAATAATTTTATTTTGTTGATATACAATGTGGGTGATTATTGTGGCCCATTACCAAAACCTCCCTCCCTCCTCCCGCTCCTCCCTCCCACCCAGCAATGTCCTTTCTGTTTGCTTGTCATATCAACTTCGAGGAACTGTAGTTGTTATGTCTTCTCCCCACCCCCCGGTTTTTGTGTGTGTGTGTGTGTGCGCGCGCGTGTGTGTGAATTTATTTATTTATTTTTAGCTCCCACCAATAAGTGAGAACATGTGGTATTTCTCTTTCTGTGCCTGACTTGTTTCACTTAATATAATTCTCTCAAGGTCCATCCATGTTGTTGCAAATGGCAGTATTTCATTTGTTTTTATAGCTGAGTAGTATCCCACTGTGTAGATATACCACATTTTCCGTATCCACTCATCCGATGATGGACTCTTTAATTGCTCTTCTAAAGCTCAGCTACTTAATTCTACACAGTTGAAATCTATCACTCTTTACCATCCTCTTCCTTCCATATGTAGACAGTTAGCACCTCCCCACTCTTTTGCTGCCTGCATTGTGCTGGGCCACACTGGGGCCCTCAAGGCTTGGCTGCAACCAGCACAAGTCCCCAGAGGGGAAAACGTCTGTCAACCTTGCTGCCTCCTTCCCCATTATCTTAAAATGCCTCCAGCTTGTTCTGCCCTTGGACCCCAGCTGGCTGCTGGCTGCTGGCTGGGTGAAGGTGGTGTCTCTCTAACAACTTATAGTGAAGTTTTGATTTTTACATGAATGGGAAAGAGTAACAAAGTCATTTTTTTCTGGCTCTGAAATGTGTTTTGTACTTGTATTTGAATGTGGTTGTGCCTGACGTTCTGAGAACTCACTTCAAACAAAACAGTGAAGCAGCGCCTGGAGATGTGCTCAGGGGAGGCTGAGAAGCTGCATACTTTAACCGCCCTGGGCCTCTTCCTTTCTTCTCAAAGCCTGGTTGGGGTTTGAATCCCATGTACTCACCACTCTGTACTAACCAACAGTGAGTGTTCATTGAATAGGTCACCTAATCTCTCTGAGCTCTAGGTTTATGCCCTGCAAAATTGGGGTGAAAATTACCTACCCCCGAGGATCGCTGGAGAGAACAAATGAGATAGCAGGGTAAGCACTGGTCTCACGGTGGCAGGTGGCATCGAGTGAATGTGAGACATCTCTCCCAATGTGAGACATCTCTCCCCCTCACTTTCCTCCCCTCCACCTCCACCCCCCTCCAATGCAAAGCGCCAACATAAGCAGAAGCTCCTTCCTTCAGTGTCTCCAAAGTGGGAGAGGTGGGACCTGCCACACACTTCATGGCTCCTTTTCCTTCCTCACCTGAGCCTGTCCCCAGCCTCTCTCTTCCTTGTTTCATTCTCATTGGCCTTTTACTGTTCAGACCCTATGACGGTGGAGACTGAAATGCCTGGCTGCGCAGGTTCCACCATATATTTGGTGCGCGCGCTGATTGTACGGCCTGGATTGTCCATGGCAATCCCAGTTCCAAATTTCACAGTCCCATTCTTCCATTCAAATGTCCTGCTAAAGTTGGCATACAGCCCCCCACTGCTAACTTTGACTGGTTTAAAGAAAAATGTCCTGGAATTCTGTCCATCAATATCCTGAACATATTTCCTGATTACACTCACTTCCTAGCAGGGGGATTTAAGACTCAGAAATGAGTCTTACCAAACTCACTTTGGCCTTAACAAAGAGCCCTGACGGTGCTTACCACATATCCCAGGCTTTCTGGAGAAAAGTCTGTTCTATTTACAGACCATGTATCCTGATTCATATGACCTATGGGTGTCCATAACCAACCAACACAGGTCACATGAAAGACACATGTCACATGAAAGGCACATGTCAGACAGAACCTGCCCTACCCGCCCCATAAGATTCTGGGAGAGTTCACCACTGCCTGCTACCTCAAATTCAGATTTTTTTACTTGTCATTTTTTGGGTTATTCCTTACACTAGTTGGGTTTGAGAGTTTGGTCAAAGGGAATTGTGTTATTGTGAAATATATAGTATTTGGTCTTTCTCCATTTCCTGGCATGCGACTCCTAAAATCCTTGGAATCTTCAAAATGATAAGTGTCATTTTGTAAGCTAGTGAGGGGGCTGGCATCCCCTGGGTTGCTTCAGGATGGGGGCTGGTCACCAGAAAGACCAAGGCAGTTCCACTTTCCAACCTCCAGAGAGGAGAGAGGAGCCAAAGGTTAAGTTGATCTTCAATGGCCAATGATTTCATCAATCATGCCTATGTAATGAAGTTTTAAAAAGCCCCAAAAGGGGGCCGGCCCGGTGGCGCACTGGAGAGTGCGCCGCTTGGGAGTGTGGCGGCGCTCCCGCTGAGGGTTCGGATCCCATGTGGAGACCGGTTCCCGCTCACTGGCTGAGCGCGGTGCGGGAGCAACGCCAAGGGTTGCGATCCCGTTGCCGGTCCCCTCCCCGGTACGGGCGCGACACCGAGGGTTGCGATCCCGTTACCGGTCAGTAAAAAAGACAAAAAGGAAAAAAAATAAATTTAAAAAATTAAAAAAAAAACCCCAAAAGGACAGGTTTTGGAGAGCTTCTGGGTAGCTGGACACGTGGAGGTTCCTGGAGGGTGGGGCACCCAGGGAGGGTCTGGAAGCTCTAGACTTCTTCCCACATACCTTGCTCTATGTATCTCTTCCATCTGGTGTTCATCAGTATCCTTTGTAATATCCTTTATAACAGGCCAGTTTATGTAAGAGGTGTTTCCCTGAGCTCTGTGAGCTGCCCTAGCAAATTAATTGAACCCCGAGGAAGGGGTCATGGAAACCCCTATTTATAGCTAGTCAGTCAGAAGCACAGATAAAACAACCTGGGGCTTGTGATTAGCACCAGAAGTGGGGACAGTCATGTGGGACTGAGCTCTCAACCTGTGAGATCTGATGCTATCTCCACATAGATAGTGTCAGAACCGAATTAGAGGACACGCAGCTGATATCCATTGCAGAACTGATTGCTTACTTGGTGTGTGGGGAAAAACCTTCACGTCTGATGAAACATAATTCTTGTTGCTTTTGGATGTGAAATGAGGACAAGGATAAAAATGTGTTTAGCACAAACATGCACACAATTCACTCTGTATGCAATTTTGAAGACTGCCTTTTTCACTTAACATTAGAACATATGGATTTTCTCATGTCATTAAAGTATTTTTTTGTTTGTTTTTCATTTTTTGTAAACAGTGACTTTACCAAATTCAGGATGGTATTTACCACTGGCAATGATGGGGTGGGAGTGGACTGAGGATAGCAGGTACCCAAGGAGATTTATCATGTTGGAATGTTTTCTATCTTAAGCTTGGTGCTGGGTATACTTTTTTGAATGTCTTAAATGTTATATAATAAAGTAGAAATTTGAACACCAGTAGTAAATGGTTACTTAATATTTCATTGTGTAGATATGTCATTAATTTACTCAGTTCAAACTCTGTTCCCCTGTTATTGGATATTTGTATTTTTCAACTTTGGACTCTTAAATAATATAGTATTAAACACCTTTGGGTATCAAGTTTTGTCTGTATTTTTGCTCATTCTCTTAGGGTAGATTTATAAAATTGAATTATTGGGTCAAAGAATACGACTATCGTGAATACATATTGTAAGACTAACTTAATAAGGCTATATGAGTTTAGACTATCAATGACATGGTGTCTCTTTCGCTTTATCTCCCCAACATAGAGTTCTAGTTGTTTTTTAATATTTGCTACTTTGCTAGACAAATATTTGTTTCTAATGATTTTAGTTTGTATTTCTAATTTCCAGTGAGACTGAACGTTTTGTCATATAATTTTTCTATTGGAGTTTTTTTTTAAATGTGTACATGTGAGCACAGGTTTTTGTAGACTCACTTGTATGTGGGACCTATGTGAGAGGGTCTTGTTTATGTGGGGGTGGGGACACAGATAAGCAAAAACCGGTGTTTCGCCCCCCTCATTGAAAACTAGCTGTGCATCTAGACCTCTGTCTTCCTGCAGTGCCTCCAAGCTCCTGGACAAGAACCCGTTCTCCGTCTGTAACACGAACCCTCTGCTTCCTTCACCTGCCAGTCTCCAACTGGCTCAACTGCAAGCCCAGCTCACCCTCCACCGGCTGAAGTTGGCACAGACAGCTGTCACCAACAATACTGCAGCCGCCACGGTCCTGAACCAAGTCCTCTCCAAAGTGGCCATGTCCCAGCCTCTCTTCAACCAGCTGAGGCATCCGTCTGTGATCAGTGCCCCCCACGGCCATACCGGGGTGCCCCAACATGCTGCAACCATATCCAGCACCCGATTCCCCTCTAATGCAATTGCCTTTTCACCCTCAAGCCAGACCCGAGGCCCAGGACCCTCTGTGAGTCTTCCCAGCCAGCCCCCCAATGCCATGGTGATACATCCTTTCAGCGGGGTAATGCCTCAGACCCCTGCCCAGCCAGCAGTCATCTTGGGCATTGGCAAGACTGGGCCCGCTCCAACTACAGGAGGCTTCTATGAGTACAGCAAAGCCAACTCTGGCCAGGCATACGGCTCCGAAACAGACGGTCAGCCCAGCTTTCTGTCAACCTCAGCCTCTACCTCAGGCAGTGTGACCTATGAAGGGCATTACAGCCACACAGGGCAAGATGGCCAAGCTGCCTTTTCCAAAGACTTCTATGGACCCAACTCCCAAGGGTCGCATGTGACAGGTGGATTTCCAGCTGAGCAGGTGGGGGGCCTCAAAGGTGAGGTAGGGCCACTGGTGCAGGGCACAAACAGCCAGTGGGAGAGCCCCCACGGATTCCCTGGCCCAAGCAAGCCTGATCTTACAGCAAGTCCCAACCTGTGGCCTCCACCCCCTGGCCAGCCCTATGAGCTGTATGACCCCGAGGAACCCACCCAAGACAGGACGCCTCCTTCCTTTGGGGGGCGGCTTAACCACAGCAAACAGGGTTTCAGCAGTGCCCGGCGGCGGGCCAAGGAAGAGCAGGCGATGCTGTCCATGCGGCCCCTGCAGGCTCATGAGCTGAATGACTTCCATGGCGTGGCCCCACTGCACCTGCCACACACCTGTAGCATCTGCGACAAGAAGGTGTTTGATTTGAAGGTGAGTCGTCCTAGATAGGCTGGGAGCCACAGCTTGAGCCTGGCCAGGCTTCCCCCCATGACCCAGCTCTTGCTGCTCATGGGTGAGGAACTGTTATGTCTGGGGATTGGGAAATGGGATTTTGCTACAGATAGAAAGCAGAGGGTCAAATGATCCCACCTGGGTTGCAGAAAAGGGGCTCCTGCTTCTTTGTGGAGGGCTTTTCCTTGGTGGTATGCCTAGAAACTACTGTTCCTTGAGTATATAGATGGTACTGAGCTTGAAGGTGGGGGGAAGCAGAATTTTGGGTCAGGGGCAAGAGAGTAATTCTCAGGTGGAATCTAGACAAATTTATAAGAGCTTCAGCTTCCCCATCTGCAAAATAGAGATAGAGCCTTATGACACCTTCCCAGTGGTTGTAAAATGCTTTGGGCTGCTGCAAACAAAGGTCCATTATTGTATAATTTTCCCTGAAAAAATGTATTTCTGATGCAATGAAATATTCTGAAGCAATAATTGTAACTAACACTATGTGTGTCAGCAGTAATTCTATAAGGTAGATACCAATATTTTTCCCATTTTACAGATGAGAAAACTGAGGCCCAAAGAGATAAAATGGCTTGCCCAGGGCCCCTTAGCTTGAAAGTGCCAGAGAGGAGATTCAAGTGTCGGTCTGACCCTCCCAGAGCCTCTTAGGCACTGGGCTGCCCTGCTTCCCAACTCTCATTCCTACGAGAGCATAAGGAAGTCCCTGCTTATTGGGAGTCACACCATGGTGTGTCATTCATCTCTGCTTGAGTCTCATCATCCAAGTGCATCCCTATGACTCGGGTGGGACATACCCTGTTACCTTCAGTCTTGGGAGGGGACTGGATGACACTGGAAGGTGCTGGTGGATTTTGTCTCTCATAAGCCTTTTCTAAGGCTTTATAACTCACTGCGAGTCCACCTGCCAGATTCTCCCAACTGGATATAGAAATGGGTGGGGTCCCTCTGGGGGAGAAGAGAAAGAGTGGGAGGCAGGGGGAGACCAGACTCAAAATCTGCTGTCTGAGATGGGCACGGTATGTGCAGATGAGGAGCTGAGAGAAAGAGCTGTGGACGGGAGGCAGGAGTGGGGGAAGAACCTGAGAGGGAGAGGAGGAGGGAGATGTGTCTGCAGTGTAGGCCCAGCCTCTGTGTGCTCTGTGCTCCCTGCCTGGCTGGTGACTCTGCACCCATCCTACACCTTCCCATGGCCCCAGTTCTACACTGGTCACTTTTCTTTCCTTCTGACCTAGGACTGGGAGCTTCATGTCAAAGGGAAACTGCATGCTCAGAAGTGCCTGGTCTTCTCTGAAAAGTAAGTGCTATCCAGGAGAACAGGTTCATGCACACGCTCAACAGATATTTAGTGAGCATCTACTTTGTGTCTCGATCTATTCTGGATGCTGGGGAAAGAGCAGAGAACAAAACAGGCAAAGTGTCTGCCCTCAGGGAGCTTACACTTAGTGGGGGTGGGGAGAGGCAGACAATAAACAAAGTGAACAAGTAAATTAGATAGCGTTCCTGGTAGTAAATGCTAAGCAGAAAATGTCAGAGCAGAGGTGAGAAGGGTACGTGTGTGCACGTGTGCACATGTGCACACGTGTGCCCGTGGAGGTGCTGGTCCATGCATTTTAAATAGGGTAGTTGGGAGAGGACTTACTGAGGACACTATAGGAGGGGGCAGAATGAGCCCATGGCTGTCTGGGGGAATCACATTCCTGGCAAGTGGAATAATAGGTTTGATGGCCCTGCAGCGAGTGTGGACCTGAGATACCCAGGCAACATCTAGCATACTCAGAGCAGAATGACAGGGAAGGGGAGCCAGGGAGGTACCAGGGTCCAGATCCTGAGCTCCCAGGGTTGTTGTGAAGACTTCTGCATAGAAGTGATGCACTCAGCCTCCACCGAACAGGACCTGGGCTGCTGTGCTGAGAATAGATGCTGGGGGCCAGGGAGGCAAGGGCAGACCCCAGAGACCAATGAGGAGGCAGCTGCAGTAATCAGGGCAGAGGAGAGGGTGTCTGACCTTGGGGTAAGAACAGGCAACGGGGATTAAGTGTTTTGAAATGTGTGCATTCAAAAGGCCTCCTTTTATTATTAATGAGAGCCAAAATGCAGAAGCAACCCAAATGGATAAGCAAAAGTGGTATATCCATATGATGGAACATTACCCAGCCTTGAAAAGGCTGGAAATTCTGACACGTGCTACAACATGGCTAAACCTTGAAGACATTGTGCTAAGTGAAATAAGCCAGTCACAAAAGGACACATATTGTACACTTCCACTTATACGAGGTATCAAGAGTAGTCAAACTCATAGAGACAGAAAGTAGAATGATGGTTGCTGGAGCTGGGGTAGGGTAGAAATGGGGAGTTAGGGCTGGCCCGGTGGCACACTCGGTAGAGTGCAGCACTTGGGAGCGCAGCAGCGCTCCCACCGAGGGTTCGGATCCCATATAGAGACCGGTCTGCTCACTGGTTGAGCGCGGTGCGGGCGCGACACCGAGGGTTGCGATCCCGTTACCGGTCATGAAAAAAAAAGATAAAAAGGAAAAAAAAAAAAAAAGAAATGGGGAGTTAGTGTTTCATGGGTACAGAGTTTCAGTTTTACAAGATGAAAAGAGTCCTGTGGGTGGATGGTGGTGGTGGTTGCCCAACAGTGTGAATGTACTCGATGCCACCGAACTGTCCACTTGAAAATGGTTAAGATGGTAAATTTTATGTCATATGTATTTTACCACAATTTGAAAACTAATTTTAAAAAAGACCTCCCTTTCATGGCTCCTTTTTAATTATTGTTATGGTAAAATTCACATAAGATTCACCATTTTTTTTTTCCTTTTTATCTTTCTTACTGACTTTCATGGCTCCTTTTTAATTATTGTTATGGTAAAATTCACATAAGATTCACCATTTTTTTTTCCTTTTTATCTTTCTTACTGACTGGTAACGGGATCGCAACCCTCAGTGTTGCGCCCGCACAGCGCTCAGCCAGTGAGTGGGAACTGGTCTCCACATGGGATCTGAACCCTCAGTGGGAGTGCCACTGCTGCGCCCGCACAGCGCTCAGCCAGTGAGCGGGAACTGGTCTCCACATGGGATCTGAACCCTCAGTGGGAGTGCCACTGTGCTCCCAAGCGGCGCACTCTCCAGTGCGCCACCGGGCCGGCCCAAGATTCACCATTTTAAACATTTTGAAGTTTACAGTGCAGTGGCATTTAGCAATTTACGAGGTTGTGCAAATATTACGACTACTTAGTTTCAGAACATCTTTTACCCCAAAAGGAAACCCAATACCCATTAAGCAGCCACTCCCCATTTCCACCTTGCCCCAGCCCCTGACAACCACTAATCTACTCTTAGTTTCTGTGGATTTGTCCCTTCTGGATGCTTCGAGTAAATGAAATCATATAGTTTGTGACCTTTTGTGACTGGCTTTTTTAACTTAGCATAACATTTTCAAGGTTTGTCCGCCTTGTAGCATGCACAAACTTTTATGGCTGAGTAATATTCCATTATACGCATATAACAGACTTTGTTTATCCAGTTATCTTTTGATGGGCATTGGGGATGTTTCTATCTTTTGGCTGTTGTGAATAATGCTGCTATGAATGTTTGTGTACAAGTTTTTCTTTGAACATCTGTTTTCCACTATTTTGGGTCTATACCTAGGAGTGGAACTTCTGGGTTATTTGGTAATTCTTCACTTAACTTATTGAGGAACTGGCTTCCTTTTTTCACGCCTCTCCAGTGCTGGCATCCGGTGTATACTCGGTTCGGCAGAGGGAACCCTCTGTGCCTCTCCCAACAGCACAGCTGTTTATAACCCTGCTGGGAATGAAGGTGAGTGAGGCCTGACAGGTCAGCAGTGTGAGGCGGGAATCACCTTCCCACAGGCTTGTTATATCGTGTCTTTAATAACCAGGACTTCCCTGATGTGCCCTTCTTTACATTTATAAAGCAAACACATCCCAAGACACTAAAATGCACTGGGCCTGCTGTCTGGGCCCATCAGTGTTTTCTGAGATATTTTAGACATAAAGCTTTACTGATTCTCAGTGTGCCCAGAGGTATAATCATGCTCATCACTAATACGTTAGGAAGAAATTTTCATTTTTCTCTTCCCACTTGTGCCCTAATAATGACTTTTGAAGGTTAAGTAAGTGACTGGGTTTTCACCTGGTTTGTGTAATTTATCATTTAGATTATGGCTCAAATCTTGGAACGTCGTATGTGGCTATCCCAGCAAGGTCATTTGCTCCATCGAATCCTGCATTTCCTTCAACTCCCCCAGGGACAAATGTAAGTAGAGAAGCATTTTCTCCATTGTCATTGTCATCCTCAAAGCATTTGTGTCACCTGCTATGTCTGGGTCTACAGGTGCAGAGGAGGCTGTGTGTCGTTCAGAAAAACATCCCTAGACAGAGGTCCAGAGTTGTTTAATTCAGTCCAGCTAGTATTGAAACACACGTATAAAAAAGCTGACAAATTCTTAAAATCAAAGGCACTCGCAGACTTTGTTGCAATCAGCACTAGTTTAGGGGGGAAGAAAAGTTTGAGCTTTTGTGTTTTTTTCCTAAAGATGTTTTGATGTTTTATTGAAGTGGATCATTTCCTATGAGAGGGTAATTCTGAAACTTGAACCAGAAAGAAAAGTGTGTTTGAAAGTAAGGGCCATGTACTAACAGTAATCGTTGGCCCTTTGGGGAAGTGGTTGGTGCTTTATAATGTTTTTGTTTTTCTGTTTTTAGTTTTGTGGTTCTCTCTACTACATGCACTTTAGCCCCCCAAAGCCCTAAATCTTCATCCCTCCTTTTTCCACCGGTTGTGATAACTCCCTCTCTTGCTTCGGTTTTGAATGATTTCCTGTTTCCCCCTGGTGTAGTTTTCTCTCCAGCCCCAGGAGCTGTCTGGCTTCTCTTCTCTGTTGGGCAGGAGGAAGGGAGTGGAAGGCCGGTGAAACCAACCAAAACAAAGTGCATTCGGCTGAACCCTGCTAGAGGGCGCCTGTTCGTGTTTTTGCCTGTGTATTTTTTCGATTTGTGACGTGAGCAGCTGCGGCCTCTTTCTCTCTTCCCATGCAAGGAGCAAGCACACGTTCCCGAGAGCAGGCTCCACATGCCACCCCCTTCATGTGGCAGAGCGTTCATGCAAAACATCAGAAGAGCAAGCCGTGAAGTGTGGCTTTTAGGCCCCAGGGAGTGAGCAGATGTAGGATGATAACAGTAATAGCTAACATTTATATAGTGCTTACTGTGTTCTTAGCATTTTTGTATTGTTTTAATTCATTTAATCCTCCAGACAACCCTGGGAGGTGTGTACTTGTACAGTTGGGAATCTGAGGCCTGGGAGACTTAGTACCTTGCCTAAGGTCACACAGCTGGGATATGAACCCGGGCAGCATGGCTCTGGAAACGTCACCTTTAGCCACAAAGCCATGCTGCCCCTCTCTGAGGATCTCAGGGGTCTCTTCCTTGTTGTGATTCTTCTCTTTAGTAAGCCCCTCTCCCCACTCCGTACCTCTACCCACAAGATACTCAGGAGGATCTGAGGCTACCTACAAGGTGGCAGGGATTACTCTGGCCTTGGCCAATCATGGAACAAGATGAAGAGGCCAGTCACATGAGCATTCTAATTGTGCTCAGGACAGCATCTCCCAAGATGAACTCAGACATTGAGAGGCATTTTCTCTAGACCCCATGGAAGGGGAGAGGCATCATCTGACTGGTTTCGTCATTGTATGTTCTGTGAAGTCTTTATGCACATGAACCTTCCCAAGGATATCCAGAGGACATGGACAAAGCCTGCTCCGGCCAGTCCCTGATTGCCAGGGGTTTGATGTTCATTCATATTCTTCTATCAGATTCTAGTCCCCCTGTTTGCCATTTCAGGCAAATGGAATTAAATGCAGGAGTATCTCTCTTTAGGAAAACCTGAAATGCAAGAATATTGACATTTGAAGACAAGCTGAGAATAAAGAGCTGATAATACACTACTGAAAAATACTTTGCAAGGCTCCTTTGAGTAGCAGGAGAGTCTCTCAGAGAAATTATTGATTTATTTTTTGGCCTACAAATACTGACCTCCAAAGATAAGCAGATACATCAAGGGATGATTACTCTGTTACCAAGGGATGCTTTGCCAGGCTCCAATGAGTGTCCAGTGAACCGCTTTTGCATATAGGAGGGGACTTCAAAAGGTTCATGGAAAAATAGAATTAAAAAATAATATGAATCTTTCCATAAACTCTTTGAAGACCTCTAGTACATTTCTATTATTTTTTTTTTGTTTACAAAATTTATGCTTACTGTGTAAACTCAGACAGAAAAGAAATACTTAATGCGGAGAGTGATATTTCCGTTGCCCCCCTCCAACTCCTGCAGAGATCCCAAGAGGACTTTTCTGCATTTTCCTCCACAAATGTGTTCTAGCCTTGTGCCAGGGCTTTTAATGTCTGATCCTATTCACATACATCTTTTCAGAAACACATTTCACTGACTGAAACCAGAAACAGCCAGGACTCTGCCCCTGTAGGATTACTCTTGTTTGTGGCGCACAGAGCAGCTGCTGCTTGAAAAGTTCCCGTTTTGTGTGCTGTGTTTGCTGGTTGTGGAGTGATTTGAGTCTGTCCCCAGCCCCTTTCACTCCACCCCAGGATCCTCCGAGATGGACAGGATTACTCTTGTTTGTGGCGCACAGAGCAGCTGCTGCTTGAAAAGTTCCCGTTTTGTGTGCTATGTTTGCTGGTTGTGGAGTGATTTGAGTCTGTCCCCAGCCCCTTTCACTCCACCCCAGGATCCTCCGAGATGGACATTCACTTTCACTTGAGCTCCTGCCATTTGACCAGGCCGAGGCACTTCCTCCTTGGCTGTCTGAGTTGTCATAAACAGAGTAGTCAGGTTTCTGGAAGGGGCCATTGGGGCATTCTCAGGCTGTAAATAGTTTTCTTGTGCCTGCCTGAGATGCACTTTGATTGTGACTGTCCACATAAAACCACCTTGCAATTTTCACAGCCACCTTGGAGTTTATTTAGTGCTGGTGCCTGCCTCCCTGGCCTGGGACAACACACCCTGCTTTTATGATTTCTTTCTCACCAGCACCCTGCATACTGGAGACTTGTATAAATAAAGAAGCTGAGGCTCAGGGAAACATAAATGTTTGTGGAAGGCTGGAGGTTTAAGTCATAGGTTGTCTCTCGGATTGCTGGCTGTTTCTAGAACATCGTCTGTCTGCCCTGGCTTTCTGAGTCCATGGCTCAGAGCACTCTGGTCTTGTGATTTCTTTAGCATGAATAGTAATTGATGTGGCATATGCTACTTGTCCCCTCCCTCATCCACAGCTCAGTCATTGTTCCTGTCCACTCAGCAGGGCCCACCTTGTACATTTTCAAAGAGAGAGAGACAGGAGACCTGGGTAGGTTTTGTTTTCTTCTCACAAATCCTCATTATTTTGTCTTCTTGCAAAAGTAGTACAAACACGGTGTGAAAAAGTTCTAACAGTAATAGGAATATAAGAAATAGAAAAACCAACTTTGCAGAGAAAACTGAAGGGAAATGTCTTTTACTACAACTATATATCTCCAGCTTGTGTATGTGTGCATGTTTAATTAGTAAAACTCTCTCTCTCTCTGTTTTTTTTTTTTTGTAAAAATCAGATAATGCCATATAATCTCTTGTGCACTTTGGTTTTTTTCACTTAACATAAAATCTCAATACATATTTTAATTGATTTCTAGACATCTTTCCACATCAGAACATAAATCCCTATCTTATTTTCTAACATAATTTACTGTATATATTTACCTTAATTTACTAGTCTGCAATTGATAGATTTTTTTAGTGAGACCTAAGTTTTAATCACAAATCTGCCACTATTTAATTGACCACAGATTAAATTTCTTAGCTTTTCCCAGGCTTCAGTGTCCTCATATACAGTGATGGGTGTGGACCAGGTGACCCGCCAGTTCTAATATCCCGCGACTCTAAAGTTTACAGGGATGTTGAAGCTGCTCAGCAGGTGAACCACTCAAGATCTGTAGGCAAGTCTGGCACCAGTGAAAGCAAATTCGCTCTAAGTCAAAGCTAATATGCTCAATAAAATATTTGAAAGTGTCAGTAAAGTCATCTGTGTCTACCCTTCCAGTTAAGCCAAGATCCGTAACTATGGAATTCACACCCATTTACTATCTGCATAATAAGTTCGAAGTCAGCATCATGAAGAATAAACATTTGCCCTCTGTCTGTTCTTAGGTGTTCTCCAGCAGAGGTCTACAGACTCTGTGCCAGATGAAATTAGGTCACACCTAAGACAGATCAGGCTGGAGCACAGAGATCATGTACTGAAGATCGAATCTACACTTCCTAGCTCTAGGAAGCACTATGAGAGACTTCTTTCACCCCACAGGCCTATTGCCCTCAACCACATTGCAACTCTGAGTTATTTGAACTGGGGCTCTTCTTTGAATTCGTCTGCAAAGTCTGTTTCTACCTGCACCAAAGGGTATTGAAAGGCCTCAGAATCTTCATGTACTTTCACATTTCCACCCAGCTATAAAATATTTGTGGGTGAGTTTTGAGGTCTGGGACCCAGCCATAGTCATATGAACCATTAGAAGCAGCATCTGGGTTTCAATGAGTGGCCCTGGCATATGAAAATGTACAACTCAGGCCCCTGATCCCACGTGGAGGCATTCGAGGTCAGAAGGCAGGCAGAATCCTCCGCTAGGCTGGGAAAGGATAATTGTCCCTTTAGGTTGGTAATTAGGACTTTGGTTACAACCCTGACTCCTTAGTGATTTAACCTTGGGCTTGAAAGTTTCAAGTGCACCTATCATGTTTCAAGTGCACCTATCCTGGGAGCTCAGCAGGCAGAGCCCATCAATGCCTCATACCAAAAATTTAAGTTGGCAAGAGCTTAAGATTCTCTCTAAATTCATCTGCTCTTCTGCCCTAGAGCACATCTTTTAAAATTTATTTTTGGTAACTTTTAATACATTTCAAACTTACAGAAAAGTTGCCAGAAAAAAAATATAAGGAACTTCTGTATAACTCTGGCCCAGATTCACTATTTCTTTACATTTTGCCCTATTTGCTTTCTCATTCTCTCTTTGTGCCTTTCCCCCATCTATCATCAATTTAATCAGCTATGCATTTTTTTCCTTGAATCATCATTTTAGGGTAGGTTGGAAACATTGTATTTCTTCACCTCTATTTCAGCATGAATTTCCTAAAAACACGAAATTTCTCTCATATAATCACAGCAACGTTTTTTTCCCAGTCCAGGATCATTATAGCACATCCTTTAACTGTTGGAGGAAAGGAGGAGACAAACATTTATTTACAGGAGTCTGCTGGCTGCCGGGCATTGCACCAAGGCACTTTACATACCCTGTGGCATTTCATCTTCTCAACAGTCCTGTGGAATCAATTTTTATTCTCACTGTTATTCAGACAAGCAGACTTGGGCTTGGAGAAATCCAGTAATTGGATCACAGTCACTGGTGGAGCAGAGACACAGACTTGGGCCTGTCTGATTCTCTCACTGCCCTGACCCTGGTGCTTGGTGACTAAAAAGCACACACTTGACATGGGTCTGTCCTTGGAGAGGCATCAGGCCTGGTTGTCCTCAGTTCATTTCAGTGTATCATCTTAACTCCGTCTAGGCACCATGGCAGCAGAATCATTCAGGGAGCAGCAGAGCTCATAAACAATGTTGTTACTGCTTGGAGCTTATCTTCGGCCCTGGAAAGATGAGACTGCCACCAACACAGAGAAACATGTCTAAAAGATGAACGTGCTTGTGAACGGTTGAACAGTTAAACAGCCGATCACACAGAGAGGGAGAACACACATTACATTCATTGGGATAGGAGTGGGAAAGATACCGGTTTCCTGTTTATGCTGGGCACAGTTGGGGAAAGTTATCATTATCCCAGATCTTAGGGTTTAGTTTGGCAAGACTTCTCGGAGGAGTGGAATTTCAGAACTTAGAGCTACATAAGCATAGATATTTTACGTCTGGAAAGGTCTTTAGACATGTCGGCCACCTCCCTCATTCCAGACATTGGGACATTAAGGCCCAGAAAGGGAAACTAATTTGACCCTGTCATGCACTTAATAAGTGGCTGAGCTTTGACTTGAAACCAGGTCTTTTACGTCTGGAAAGGTCTTTAGACATGTCGGCCACCTCCCTCATTCCAGACATTGGGACATGAAGGCCCAGAAAGGGAAACTAATTTGACCCTGTCATGCACCTAATCAGTGGCTGAGCTGTGACTTGAAACCAGGTCCTCTGTCTTCCAGGCTGTTGTTTCTTCCACTACATCTGGAATTCCCAAGCTTTTTATAGCCCAAATCCCCTTTTATTATTTACTCCTACCCCAAGCAGCCACTGTCCTACGTTCTATGTTTGGAAGGATTTTATCTGACAAAGTACTTATATTAGTGAGTAATTAACTAGTGACCCACTTTTATTAATCAAAGACACAGACATACCAATTAGATTTTCTAATCAGCCTAAGAGCTAACCGGGATTACCATGTCTGTAAAGAAACTCAAAGTATGATCTCGGGTATTTTGAACATGAACGATAATGTTTAGGTCCTCCCTTTCTTGCAATACTATTATCTTCAAAGACCCGTAAGGGCGTATTGGAAAACCCAGATTGGAAATTACGGTAGAGCACCATGCTGCTTGCTCAAAAGCACTCAGGGTATATCAAGTCCCCAATGAACAAATGTTCCCCTAGATGTACTGCCTGGGGACCTCACGTCCCCTTCCTCCCTTCCTGTCTTCCTCATCATTCAGATCTCCCATAGGGCATAGAACAAAATAATAGCCATGTTTATCTAAACTGTTTCAAGACTAGAATAGAGTGATAAGACCTATTCCTCTATACCTTTTATGAATCAAATGTGGTTTTGAACCTAAATTGAGTTTGACAACAGCAAAATATTTTAGGTAAGTGACAGAAAAGAACTTAGACTGAACTATTCTAAGTAAAATATTGGCGAAAGAATATAACACATAAAAAAAAATTCTCTTTCTAACTGCATCAGATTTACCACATGCCCTGAAGCCATACATGACACAAAGCAAACCATTAACACAGTGATTCTGAAGATTTTCATGTCATGGCTCAACTAGAAAATGATAAACTGAAATAAACTGGCTAACTGAACAAGCTGCGCATGGTCACTGGGGGTGTGTGGCCTTCAGCCTGGGGGATCAATATCTTGGCACACCTAAAACCTCTTTTCAGTTCACCAATTGGGAAGCTCCAAATTAATATTATTAACTGGAAGAATACTAAAAACTTCACAATTATCTTAATAAATGACTAAAAGAAAATCAACAAAACCCAGTTTCTATTTCTGACTAAAATTTCATGGAAGAAAGCATTCAGGGAATGTATTTTTAAAACGAGTGAAAACCTTAATTGAGACGCATTCATGTTAGTGCCTTTCGAAACAGTGACGTCTGCAGCATGAGTACATCTCATCCTTTGGTGACTGGTGGCAGTGGGGGTGTTTATTCTTAGGGAGGAGTATTTTGCCTTCCAGCAGCAGCAGTTGCTGTGCTTAGGCTCAGATAAAAGCCTCCTGAGTTGTCCTTCCAGCCTGGAGGAGATAATGAGAGAGGCATTGGTCCTTGTACCTGGTCACTAGGCAACTGGACAGGCCAGGAGAGGGATGGGTCCAGAACCGTCCTGCGTGTCTGCTCTGTTGCCAAGCGCACATTAGCCCAGACCGACCACAGCAAAGTCACATGGGGCAGAAACAAGAGGAGACCAGGCACAGTGCCCAGCCTCAGCCCTCCTCGTGATGAACTCTGAAGACCAGCCACTTTACCCTACCTGGAAGCTCAGCGGGGCCTGTGTCTTTATGTGAGCTGCTCACCCTAATGGGAGGCAAAGATCCTGCCTCTTAATAGCCCTTCTCCCAGCATCCCTGCAGAAGGGCTCAGTCCTCGCTAGCCAGGCTCAGACTGCAAGTCTCCAAGCCTACAGTCAGTCTGTTTGCATTTCAGGGAGGTAAGGGGGTGCTCTGGGAGCTGTCTGAGCCATACGCTGAATTTTTGTTCCCCTTTGGGAAAGTGCTTGACCTCTGGACACTGCAGAAGAGGAGATCTGAAGAAGGCAGTTGGGTTTCTCCAATTCAAGGTTGAACCATAAAAGGAAATTCTTATAGACTTTAATTGGTCTCAGCCCAGATGAGACAAATGAGGGCTTTTCATGGTAGAATTACCCAAGTATTAGCTCTTGTTTGGGATGAGACCTCAGACTTTCCCCCGATATTATCTCAGCAGAGTCAGACCCACATCAAATGTAATTAGATGTTGAAGTTCACTTTATCATAGAAAATGGTGATTATGCAAATGTAGGCTATGCTATTACAATGTGTTTCAGGTTTGGAAAATTGCATCCTTCTTTTCCACGTTGGGTTGGCTTATGGTTACTAATTCTTGAACCTCCTGGAAATTCCCGGTTGATTAAGGTTTGCACAGACCAAACAGACACACTTCCTCCCTCCAGGAGCTTTGATTAGGCCCAGGTCTTAGCTTCCAAACTGTGCTTCTTAGAGGTGCCTTTGGGATTGGCGGGTAGGGGTGGCGCCAGGGTGCCGGACCCCAAGGTTTGACTAGAACAGCTCCTCTTTTATTTGTTGAATATACTGGGCTGCTGAGCAAGCTTTTCTTTGAAGAAAGGAATCCAAGGCTAAAAATATTTTGAAAACCGCTGCCCTAAGCCATCGGTTGTTGCTGTGAACGTCAGCATATATGTATTGGGGTCCTACCACCTATTTATGTTCTTTTTTTTCATCTAATTTTTAAAATTATAAGTTAAACAATATGAGGAATATACAAAAAAGGTTCAGCGTGTCTCCTTTTACTCCCGTTCCATTCTGTTCTTCTGAAGATAACCAGTGTTGACAGGTTGATATTTATGCTCTTTGCCTTTTTCTGTCTGTGCCGATATCCTTAAAAAAATTTTATCGCAAAAAATTTCAAACATACAGAACAGTGGAGACTAATTTCACCCAGTTCTGATAATTATCAATATTTTTACAACACTCGCTTTATCTATCTTGTTCTCATATAGTTTTTGTTTGTTTTACAAAAATGGCATCATAGTGTGCATACTACTTGGCAACCTTTTTTTTTTACTTAACAGTCTGTCTTAGAAATTATTCCATCAGCTCAATTACCTCTTTTTAATGGCTATGGAGTGTTCCACTGTATGCTTGAACCATCATTTCCTCAAACATTCCCCTATTGTTGGGCATTCAGGCTATTTCCAAAAATTTTTGCCACCTTATAAGTTACTGCAGTATATCTCCTTGTACATAAGTCTTTACATATTGGTACTTTTAATTCTGTAGGACAGAGTTCCAAAAGTGGGATGGTGGGATCGTGGGCTATGTATATTGTAAGTTTTATTTAATTTTGCTAAAGCATATTCTCAAAAGGTTATAGATACCTCTCTCCAGCAACATATGGATATACCCATTTCCTCATATCCTCCACAGCCCTGGTATCATTGCTCAGACTGCAAATCATTTATGTAAAGAGAAAGCATAAAATGGATATTTTATGTGTGTCTGTGAATGGATTCCTTTTCTGCTTTACTTTTGTAAATTACAGTTTTGCAATAATTATTTGGGAGAAGAGAGCCATTAGGAATGTCTGGAATAGAGGGCAAGAAGGAAATGTCTTCTGAAGACCGGCCACTGCTCTTTGTTCCCTTAGTTTGCAGAACGGAAAGGTGCTGGCCGTGTCGTGCACATCTGCAACCTCCCTGAAGGAAGCTGCACTGAGAATGATGTCATTAACCTGGGGCTGCCCTTTGGAAAGGTCACTAATTACATCCTCATGAAGTCGACTAATCAGGTAGGTCTGGGTACTTTCATTCTACTGTGCATGGGATAGACCACACATTGGTGAAAGGGAACCATATAATTTTGTTTTAAGACACTATTCTTAAGACAAATAGGCGAGGGACAGCTCACCTTCTGCTGGCACGACACAGAGGTTTTTGTTGGTGGTGGTGTTTTGTTCCCCTGTTTGACCCTTCATTACCCTTCTTGTAATGAACTCAAGCCTCTATGAATTGCCTAGGAGGTAGGATGAGGCTCTGGAAAGAGGGGCTCATTAATACAGAAAAGCTAATTGGCCCCCAAAATAGAAACCCACGGACTTGAGTGTCTTTGCTGTGTTGCAGACCCACTGAGCTAATGCTATAGTCTTATCTTCTAAGCTTATCATATCTGAATGCCTGGATTTGGAGCCAGCCAAGAACCAATGAGTATTTTTACTTGTCCATGGCGTGGTGTGCGAGGCCCTTGGGTCTCATAGCAGGAAAATAGGTGGGAATTGTTGCATGCTGAGTAAGTCTAAGGAACTAAGAATCCTCAACCTATTGGAATTGTCTGAGCCTTTGGGGACTAAATGTATTTGTCTTTATTTCTAAGGTCAAAGGGGGAGTTTATAGAGTAAATGGTTGGAAATCAGAATATTTTGTCTTTTATAATAAGTATATTTACTTTACGAATTAGAGGAACAGGCATAGGAGAAATTATTTTCTTAATTAAGACATGAACTTTGTAGACTCCAAGCCACATCAGATCGTCAATGGTCTCCCTCCATCAACCTGGGGATAGACGCTTAGTCTCTCTGTTCTTACTTCTCAGGAAGTCTGTTTTGGGTAAAGGTACAGAATTCAGCTTGCAACATTAATGCAGCGAGACTCTGTAGATTAGTATTGTTCTCATTTGACAGGTGAGAGCTAGAGGTGCTAAAATGTTTATATCAAGGAAGAGGCACTTAGAAAGCTGGGTGGCAGAATTTGAAATAAAACCCTAAAGAATCTTGACTTCTTAATTGCCCACACTCCTGCCATAGACTGTGACAGCCTGGAGAAAAGCCGTGCCTGTGAAATTCACAAATAAATGTGAGGTATGGAGAAGGAGAGAGTTTAGCCCATTTAATTCAAGGAAATGGGAAAGTTAGGGGCTGGTAGTGAGGACTCTCTGGTCACATCACTTTTCCCTCTCAACATAGAGGGACCAGAACTGGCACATCGTCAGTATGGTACAAACCAAACAAATCTAAGAAACGATAGCAGCATCAAATTCACCATGGCAGTTGCTGGGGTAAACTGACAGGTCAGTCAATACTGTCTATTTAGAAACTCTCTGGAGACACAGATTGAATGGAAGAGCCTGTTTGTCTGTAAGTGTTTTAGCAGAACAGTTAAATTAAAGAGGAAAGATGCTGTGGACACATAAGTGAGAGTTTTCTTTTCTCTTTAACTCACAACATTGCCCTGAGGCTCTGAGTATACAGTAGTCCCCCCTTATCCTTGGGGGATACATTCCAAAATCCCCAATAGATGCTGAAACCATGGATAGTACCAAACCCTAGATATACTATAATTTTTCCTATGTATACATACCTATGATAAAGTTTAACTTATAAATTAGGCACAGTAAGAGATTAACAACAACAATAATAAAATAGAACAATTATAACAATATATTGTAATAAAAGTTATGTGAATGTGATCTCTCTCTCTCTCTCTGTCTCTCAAAATCTTATTGTACTGTACTCACCTGCTGTTGGACTGTGGTTGACTGTGTGTAACCAAAACTGTAGAAAACAAAACTTAGGATGAGGGGTGGGGGAGACGACTGTATTTCTTTCTTTATAAGGAAAGTGAGAGCTCAAATAACCAGGGCTTGCTCTCTCTCTCTCTCTGTCTCTCAAAATCTTATTGTACTGTACTCACCTGCTGTTGGACTGTAGTTGACTGTGTGTAACCAAAACTGTAGAAAACAAAACTTGGATAAGGGGTGGGGGAGACGACTGTATTTCTTTCTTTATAAGGAAAGTGAGAGTTCAAATAACCAGGGCTTATGCCTCTGTCTCCTGCTATTACCACCATCTGATAGCAAGTCTTGTAGGGATCAGCCCAAGGCCACTTGTGTAACGGCCCCCTACCCCTCTGGGAACTGTGGATTAATGGACCCTCCTGCCCCAGAGGGGCTTCCATGGTGTAATGTAGCCCAGAATGGACATACATAATTAAGAATAATGTTTGGTAACCATGGGGATCAGGAGAGGGGCCATCTTGTAATGAGCTCTTTTGGTGAAGTTAATAAAAACTCTCTTTGAACAGATGGGATCAAAGAGCTCTTTTCCTTACACTGATTTTTTTTTCCTTTTATTGAGGTATAAAATACATACTCTAAAGTGCATAAAATACACTAGTCTTAAGTATACAACTCCATTAATTTTTTACATGGGTATACCCATATAATTAACAACCAGGTCAAGATTTAGAACATTTCCAGAATGTCATAAGTTTTCCTCGTGCCCCTTCCCCGTCAATACCCCACGCCCACCACAGAGGGAAGCTCCACTTCTGTCCCCATCAGTCAATTTTGCCCGTTCTTGAACTTCCTATATATGGAATCATTCTTTGTTCTGAATTTTGTTTAAAACCATTAAAGTCAAGCCCAATGTATGTCCTTCCTTTCTCTCCTAGGCCTTTTTAGAGATGGCTTACACAGAAGCTGCCCAGGCCATGGTCCAGTATTATCAAGAAAAGTCTGCTGTGATCAATGGGGAGAAGTTGCTCATCCGGATGTCCAAGAGATACAAGGAGTTACAGCTGAAGGTAAAGCATTCTCGCATTCATTCAGTCCCTCAGCAAGCAGCAGCTAAGTTCTTCTGACGTGTCAGGAACTGACCTCAGTGCTGGTGGGAAGGAGAGGATAGGAAAAGATTACAGAATGACTCGCTGTCTGAGGATATCCCTTGGGAAGGCAAACCACTACAACATGGCCAGACAAGTGCTCATCGAGGTGAGTACAAAATGCAAAGGGATGCTTGAGACCCCCTGGGAGCTGAGGAAGATTTTACAGAGGAAGATGCTCACAGGGGAAGTCTTGAAGAGGAAGTAAGAAAGGAAAGGTGGTTGCTCTTTGGTGGCGTAAACCCCTGAATACAGCCTTCTTTTCCACCCATACAGGCCTCCAGTAACTCGTTCGTCCATGGTCACCCCACTTGATCTCTTATTCTCTCCTCTCCCCTCCATATTTATGTCTTAAGCTCCACAGATGTCCTTCTAAGCAACACTCGACTGAATTGGCCACTGTCAAAATGCAGGGATGAATTCAGATAATGCCAAACAGGGCTTTGTTTTCGACGTTGCTTGTTCTACAGTTCCTTCATTTTTCCTTTCCTTCTTTTTTGTTTTATGGTGAAGTATAACATACATACAGAAAAGTGCCTAATTATGTATTGTACAGTTTAAAAAGTAATAACGGGTGAGATCTTATAAATCCCATAAAACCACCACCAAAGTCAAGAAATAGAATACTAACAGCACCCAGAAGCCCCTGAGTCCCTCCTGATTCTCGACGCTACCTCTCCACACCCGACGTTGAGGGTAATCATTTCCATGCTTTTCCTTATAGTTCTACCCCTTACATATGCCTCCCTAAACATAGTTTAGTTTTGCCTATTTTTGAACTACATATGAATAAAATCATGCTGTCTGTGTGCTTCAGGTTTTGCTTCCTTCATTCAACATTATGTCATCCTTGTTGTTGGGTGTGTGTATTTATTTTCATTGTTATGTAAATTCCCATTGTATAGCTGTACAATTTGTTTATCCATTCTACTGCGGATGGACATTTGGGTTGTTTCCGGTTTTAGGATATAAGGGACAATGCTAATATGAACCTTCTCAAGCATATTGTCCTGGTCCACGTGCACATGAGTATATGACTAGGCGTATGTGAATAACTAGGATTGCAAACCTAGTCTCTACCTTTCCTGCTTTGGTGAGCTAGACAAGTTGCACAACCTCTGTGAACCTAAGTTTGCAGATAAGGAAAGGACTATACCTTGAGTTCTTTGTTTTTAAGCATCTTTTTTCTTTCATACATTATCTTTTGAGTCTCACGATCACATTATCCTGTGAAGTACGTAGGGTGGATAATAACAGTAATTATAAGAGTACAACAATAATATGTACCTTTAATTGAGTTCTGGTATTCTGTGGCAAGTCAACCTAGTCTCTACCTTTCCTGCTTTGGTGAGCTAGACAAGTTGCACAACCTCTGTGAACCTCAGTTTGCAGATAAGGAAAGGACTATACCTTGAGTTCTTTGTTTTTAAGCATCTTTTTTCTTTCATACATTATCTTTTGAGTCTCATGATCACATTATCCTGTGAAGTATGTAGGGTGGATAATAACAGTAATTATAAGAGTACAACAATAATATGTACCTTTAATTGAGTTCTGGTATTCTGTGGCAAGTAATGTACCAACCACTTTACATATATTATCTACTTTAATCCTGACATCACTCCTGTCAGACAGGTATTATTATCTCAATTTTACAGATGAGGAAACTGAGGCTAACAGAAGTTCAGTAACTTGCACAAGATTGTAGTTTGTTACTGGAAGATCCATGATTAAAACCTAGGACTGTTTTGCTTTTGCACTATATCTATATCATTATATTGTGTTGTTATGATCTCCGTTGTCCACATGCAAAAACAGAAAGAAATCAGGTGATTTGCTTACAGTCACTTATCCAGGAAGCAGCAGAGATAGCACCGTTGTCCCTTGGTATGGAGGGGAGGATTGGTTCTAGGACACCCGTAGAAACCAAAATCCTTGGATGTTCAAGTCTCTTATGCAGAATGGTTTTGTATTTGCATACAATCTACTCATATCCTCCCATACACTTTAAATCATCTCTAGATTACTTATAATACCTAATACAGTGTAAATGCTATGTAAGTAGTTGTTATACTGTGTTGTTTTTTGTTTGTGTTATTTTGTATTGTTGTATTGTTATTTGCTATTGGTTTTTCCCCCCCGAATATTTTTGATCCACAGTTGGTTGAATTCATGGATGTAGAACCCATGAAGAGGAAGGGCAGACCTTATTCTAACAGAGCTTCTCAAACTTCAGTGCGCATATGAATCATTTGGGGATCTTGTTAAAAGGCAGTTTCTGATTCAGTACATCTGGGGCAGGGCTGTGATTCTGCATTTCTAACACTCCTTCCCAGGAGATACTGATGCTGCTGGTTCTTAGAGCACACATTGAGTAGGAAGGGTCTAGAACACATTGTTTTCTAATCTTTAGTAAAGGGTTTCTGCTCCCCAAGTTGTCAGACTGCCTGTCAGGGTCATTGTGAAGGTCACGTGGGATGACATATATGAAAGCATCTTAATGCATGTTTCAACTACCTAGTAATGCATGCTTTATGGTCCCTATGTCGACATTAATCAGCTAGGACTCTTCAAGTAACAGAAATTCATCTCAATTAAGCACATTGGCTTAAGTAAAAAAAAAGAATTTATTGGCTCATATAAATGAAAAGTCCAGAAGTTGACTGGCTGCAGGGACAGCTGGATTCAGGGCCCAAATGATATCATTAGGACTTGGTTTCTCTCCACTCTGCCTTCTGCTCTTTTGGCTTTGTTTTTGGGGGACTCCCTGGGATGGCCTTTCGCAGCCCCAGGCTCTCTCCTCTAGGTGGCATGATGACCACAGTGACTTTAGCAGCTCTGGCTTCTCATCCTCCCATTTCCTTCAACAAGAGACAGCCAAAGTTTTTCCTAGTAGCTCCCACAAAAGCCCTGAGAGTCACTCTGATTGGACTAGATTGGCACATGTGCCCATCCCTGGATCAATCTCTGTGGCCAGGAGTAGGCCGTGCTGTGATCAGCTGGGCCTGTATCACCTGCTGCATCCTCAGTACCAAAAGTGGACACCCACCCAGACCTACCAGGAGGAGGCAGAACGGCAACTGGGGAGGTACAGCAGAGCCCTGCTGCATATGTGTCTCTGGGCCAAAGAGACCACCACGTCAGGTCCCACCAGGGTTTGCAGAGGTGGGGGAGAAATTTTGATTGGCCTTTTTCCTCTAACTTTACCTTTTGTTCACCAGGCAAAGTGCAGGGAGAGAAGGAAGAGATTTTAAAGTATTTTTCATCTCCTCTTTTGAATGCTGTTTCCTCGTGGCCATATCTTATCTCACCATATACTCTTTGTGGCAGGGGTTCTATTCCTCAGGGCATTTGGGGCAGAGCCTTTCACATAACAGGTGTCCAATAAATATGTGGAATAAGTGAGAAAGAGAAAATCTGAAGGAACAATAAAAAGTGAATGTTTTTCTTCCTGCAGGCCTGGACAAGAAGATCGGGATCTTTACTGGGTTGTTCTATAGAGACTTCTCCAATAAGTACAGAGTCACAATGTCTTTGATGCAGAAGGGAACCTGGAATTATTTAAACCAGTGTCTCTCGGTCACTGCATCAGAGAATTGTTAGGGGAGTTTTTGGGTCCTCTTGCCCAGAGATTCTTATTCAATAGTCTTGGGGTTGGACTGAGACTCCCAGGCAGTCCTGAGGGCAGAGGGCCTGATTTCAGAGCCACTGGTCTTGCCAACCTCCTAGCTGCAGAGAGGGGCTCTGGCCCTGGAAAGCAGTCTTGTGAGTGGCCACGATGCTCTCAATCGGAAAAATTAAATTGGAAATTTGATGATTGAGGGTCTTCTCTGTGTAAGATGTGGTGCTATCAGCTATAATGAATATGAGACATGTGCCTCACTTGGGAAGAGCTTACTATAGAACTGGGAGTTGAGCTATTCTTGTGCAAAATCATACAAGATTTAAACATGATTGCCTAAGTATGGAAGCTACTAGAAGTTCAGTGGCAAAAGGCAGTGTATAGAAGGGAGAGATCCTTGAGGAGGGCCATGAAGGACAGGGAGAATTAGCTAGAGAGAGAGGGGGCTTTCAGGCAGAAGGATTCAGGTGAGAGAAGATGTAGAGGCTGGGGAGCCCAGTAATGTCAGAAACAATGGGGTACCTTAACAGAATCTGGCTCTGATGAGTCCCGGGCTCATCTGGAAGGTTTCAGCATCTTCGCAGGACTCCTGAGGCATGTAAAACAGCTGTGGAGCTGTCCGAGGGCATGAAACGCTCTAGCAGCTCCTTTCATGTTGGCCAGGCGCTCTGCGGCTTTTATCAGCGTAGCCTGCCATGCCCCGAAGCTTCTGGTGGATGCCAGATGGGTCTCATTATCCTACCTTCATAGGTGGAGAAAATGAGTCTCCCACAGGCAACAAGCCTTGACCCCTGGTGACCCAGCCAGCTGGAGGCACAGTGAGGGCTGCTCTTCCTGGATTGAGATTCCAAGTCATGGTTCTTCCCTCTCAGTATGCCAGGACCACATGGGGCTTGGAATCTCACCCTTGTCTCAAAAGCAGCAAGACCGTGAGCAGTGTGGAGGGTCCCCGAAGGGCTGTTGAGCTGAATAAATGTTATCACAGAATGAACGTAAAGAGACGATGCCTGGGATTGGCTTCAAAATAACCTAGGTGGTGGGGAAAGAGGGTGGGGAGTACAGATTGGTCAGAATTGTTGAAGATAGGTAATAGATTCATGGGAGTTCAAGAGACCGTTCTCTCTGCTTTTGTACGTGTTTGAAATTTTCCACAATAAAAAGACACCCAATGCTTTATCCTAGATTTACTTTATTCTCTCCCATTTCCATTTTTCCAAGGTGATTATTGCTGATTTCACCTGCCTCCTTTACACCTTTACCACAGGATGCAGAGGCTGGCCTGTACAGGAAGGTTGAAAGGATTTTCTTAGGGCTTTGATAAGTCAGGTTTTGTTATTTGAAAATCTTTGGTCACTTCTGTTCCCCTTCTCAGATGGCAGCTGGCAGTTGGTCCAAAGAGTGCCAAACAATTTGCAATTACCACTTAAAATAGCGGCACTGTCCCTCTGATCCTCAGAAGGGGTCTCAGTGCCTGCAATCGCTAGCCCCGCTGTATGGTATTTGCAGGCTGTGACATCCGTTCTCTGAAGCCATTCATCTTGGAACAGGTATCACAGAGCACCTGTCCCATGTGGGGCTCTGTGCTGGTACTGGCTGTAGGAAGATCAGTAACCTGGAGCCCCTCACTGGGGACTTGCGGCCTGAATAAAAGTAACTCTAGAGGGTACTGGGATGAAAGTGGCCCCAGGAGGAGACTGAAAAAATAAGGGGCATGTTTAAGAATGTTTAAGCCAAGAAGAGGCTCTTCTACCCCCAAAGAAGCCCTCTAACTTTGACCCCTGAGGTACTGCATGGGTCACTGGAGGATGTTTTCATCTGGGGTGCCTGATGGGCCAGCTCCTCCCCTCATCAGGGGGCACCCCAGAGGAGAAGGGCTTGGAGGGTGCTGTCTGTGATGACCAAGGTGAAGAAGGGACCATGAGCTCCTGGAATGTCTCTGGCCCTGACATTGGCCAGACCTGCCACCCATCTCCACATGTGTCAACCCCCTGGCGACACTGCCCGGGGTAATCTCAAAATCTCAGCTGTACCCTGACTAGGCCATCCTCCTTCTCTCACACCAGGCTTTCCTGGATCTGGGCTGGAAGGAACAGTCAGGAGGATTTGGGGTTCCAGAAGAGCAGAAGAAAACTGGGACCCTGAGAACTCTTTTTATAAAAGGAAGTCCCTATTTCAACCCCTCAGAGAATTTTTATTTTTATGTTCTAAAGAGTTGCCATAGCACGTTTATCCCAGTCTGGATACACTTTCTTTAGCCTTTGCCTGTTCCAGCTTGGCAGTTTGAGCCACACTGATTTGGGACCCAGGATGTTGCATCCTGGGTGATGGCCAATCTCATCCCATGGACTTGGTCCTGATGGCTTCCACCAGCTTTGTGCTGGCCTGCATGAAGACAGTGCTGCGGCAGGTCTTTCTGTGGACCAGCCATCCAGCTGGCCTTGATGGTACAGTACCTGGGTTCTGTTGTATGGCCCAAGGTGGGAAGACAGGAAGAAGACCCACTCAGTGGGACCCACGTTAAATGCAGTCACCTCCAGACGAGCCTTTTTCTTTTTCCCCAAGGGAATGACAAACAGCCCTGGCTGAAGTCACCAGTGGCCCCGAGTGGGTGGTGGGATGGAAGGAGGCATCCTGGGCAGCAGCTGTCTTCTTGGCCCAGGCCATCGGCCTCAGCATCTTTCCTTGCTTGGCCTTGGGTCTCTGCTTATGGTACAGTTTAAGCAGGTGAGGTGCCGGTTGACAGTGCAAGTCCTGGGTGATCTGGTTACTCATAGGTGGCACTTTCATGTGCTAGAGGGTCAATCTTTATGGCTACAACTGGATGTAAGGGACTATTTGCCAAAGTCATGAGGTTCTTTTCTAGGTGGATATCCTGACCAGTGCTAAGTTCCTGGGTCTTTTCTTGGGGGATTGGTTCACTTCTTCACCTACTCCTTTATGACCACGGGAGCAGGAGTCACTGCCTTCTCCTTGACCTTCTTTCCTTTTGCATCTCGAGCTGACAAGAGATCCCTCCCTGGCTGGAACACTTTGTATCTCTTGCCTGTGTCCTAACCCTGACCTCTCACCCTGAAACTACAGTCAGCTCCTCTTTCATTCTCCTTTACTCGGTGTTTTTCCCAGCCCAACCCTCTATCTCAACAGTAACACAGATAAGCAGCCATGCCACTCAGAGTGCTTAACAGAATTCTAGTCCCAGCTAGATCACGTCTCCAGACCTGGTTTTCTCATCTGTAAAGTGAGATACGTGATAATACTTGATGTTTGTAAGACTCTTAAGATTTTATAATTCTTTGTAAATTACATAGAATCAAATCAAGGATTAAAAAGATCAGTTGATTAAATTTCTTAAAACTGCTTATCAAAAGTTGGCATTACAGACTGAGGGTTGTTAGTCCTGTTTAAAAAAAAAAAAAATCATAGGCCGGCCCGTGGCTCACTCGGTAGAGTGCGGTGCTGATAACACCAAGGCCACGGGTTCGGATCCTATATAGGGATGGCCGGTTTGCTCACTGGCTGAGTGTGGTGCTGACAACACCAAGCCAAGGGTTGAGATCCCCTTACCGGTCATCTTTAAAAAAAAAAAAAAAAAAAATCAGCTTTATTGAGCTATAACCCACATACCATAAAATTCACCCTGCTTGATACATTTTTATTGAATGGATAAATTCTGCATAGTCTTTTGGAAGGTGCTCCTGTCCTGTCTTTTGTACTCATGAATTTCTTCTTTAGTCACTTATTTTTTATTGTTTTTCTATTGTTTGTCTATTCTGGGCTTAGGAAAGGGCTTTGGGTGGGATTTGGGGCCTGGGGTTGGTCCTGTCCTGGCACGGCCACCATATAGTGACCTCTGGAAAGCGCTGAGCCTTGGGTGCTGGCATTCTCAGCTGTGAAACATGACTCCCAGCCTACGCTGACCACCTCACAGCTTTACTCTGAGCATCAGATGACCCCTGTGGATAAACACACCAGCGTAAGGTGTTGAAGGGCACATGGAAAGGAACTTGGAGTCTTTTGTCAAGTCCTGATTCTTTAACAACCTCTGTGACCTTGAATGTGTCCCTTAACCCAGCACAACTCCAGGAGTCACCATCTGCATGGAGTGTGATGTGTCTGGTGACCCTGGAGCTGTTTAGGGCAGAGACTCTGCCTCAACCTCTATGGGTCTCAGTTCATACATGTAAAAAAGGTGAAGGCTGCATTCAATGATCTTCAAGTCTCTTTCCAAATTTGCAATGCTACTGTTCCTTCCACGTTTCAAATATTTGTTTATTCTGGTGGAGGTTGGAGGCGGGCATTAATGAATGCTACTTGTTCCTCCCAGCATGTGGACTTGAACACCAGACTCCTTCCTTTCTGAGCTTGATGGACCCTTCATCCCTTGGATTAAACTTTTGTTTACTTCCTCACCAAAGGCCCTTTGGTGGTCTAGGCAATGAATAAGCCAAGTCACAGCTGCTACCTGTAGTTTGTAAGGCCACCTCTGATCTGATGGTGATCTCTCTGACTTTGCCTAGAAACCTGGGAAAACTGTGGCTGCCATCATCCAGGACATCCATTCCCAGAGGGAGAGGGACATGTTCCGGGAAACAGACAGGTGAGGCTCTGGCCCTCGGTCTCAGGGCACTCTCCTGCTTCTCCTTCTTAGGGATATTTGAGTCACACTGTTCCCTGCCCTTGGCACCCTTCCCCACCATCCATGTGTGTGTGTGTGTGTGTGTGTGTGTGTCTGTGTGTCTTCTATTTAGAGCCAGGTCTTGATTTTTGATGCATGTAGATGTAGAAACAATAATGTAGATGGTCCCAAAAAACCAGTTACTTGACCAGTCACTTACTGTGAACATTGAATTCAGTCAGCTTGTCAATGCATTTCTTCCAACTGAAGTTTGTGACTAGGCCAACCTGGGGATACAAGCTGACCATTGTCACTCTCCTACAAAGACAGTCCCTGGAGAGAGCCCAGGTGGGAAACAGCAGGAGCTGGCACCTGGCCTGCACATTCTGTGGTTCTTGCTCAGGGCTGCCGCAGATGGCTCCCTAACCTCGCTGTTGTAGGCATGTGCCCAGGCTAGTCCTCCCATGATGGTCAAGGCAGCCTGGTCCTAGCAAAACACATCTCGGTGTCCCTTGGTCAGTGAGGGCTGCATGGTTTTCCTGTATTTGGAAACCAACTGAAAAATGCCCATCCTTTTAGAATATCAGGTGTATGACTCAGCTGATCTGCTTAATAACCAAACAGCCTTTAGAGCATGTGTGTATATCTTTGTATGTAACCGTCCAGGCTTGAGATTTTAATTTGTCTGGGTTTTTTTTTTTTAAATTGTGGTTATTTGAGTTTTTTAAAGACGTGTGTAAAGCCACACCATGCCACCTCCAGTGGTAGAGTGGAGGGAGGATTAGGAGGTCTTGCTCTGAACCTTAGGCAGGTCGGGGTCATTTTCTAGTTTTCAGTTTCTTCATCTCAAACACGAGCAGGTCAGAGTTCTAAGGTCTCTTCCAACCCCGAAATGCCTTAATTCTTTGCTTTTGAAATCCCTGAGGCTGCCCTATCCCCAAATTAGCATCCCTCTTCGATGCCCAGGATCTAAAACAATTGAGATGAGAAATAAATGAGAAAAATGGAGGCCAGGAGGTGGCCTTTATTCTGACAGAGGCCGGGTAGAGGAGCGGCTTCAAGTCTTGTAGCCAAAAGGCTGGCTAATTGAACCCCAGGGTTGACAGCCTTACCCACTAGGCTGGATCAGAGCAACCTCCCCCAGCCCCCACTCCTCACCCCCCAGGAGGAGAGTCAAGGGCCTACGTCCTGAGCATGGCTCACTTCCCAAAGAAAGAAAGATGGGGCTGAGCCAAACCAACCCAATTATTCTTTCTAGTTCCCAGGAGCAGAATGAGTAAAGGAACAGAGTGACCAGGATTACACTTAGGGAACATCCCTCCTCATAGACCATGGCAGGGAGGAAAAGGCTCACTCCTGGCCCATGCTCTGTGTGGCTCTGTACAGTTGTGACTGCAGGGTGTCCACAGTTATATGCACAGAATGTCTACAAGAGAGACTCTATCTGTGTGGGGTGTGAGCATTCTAAACCCTGCTCCTTTACTCCCTCACAGATATGGCCCAGAAAGGCCGCGGTCTCGCAGTCCAGTGAGCCGGTCACTCTCCCCAAGGTCCCACACACCGAGCTTCACCTCCTGCAGCTCCTCCCACAGTCCTCCAGGCCCCTCCCGGGCTGACTGGGGCAACGGCCGGGACTCCTGGGAGCACTCTCCCTATGCCAGGAGGGAGGAGGAGCGAGACCCGCCCCCCTGGAGGGAGAACGGGGAGGACAAGAGGGACAGGACAGACACATGGGCATGCCATGATCGCAAGCACTACCCCCGGCCACTGGACAAAGGCGAGCTGGAGGAGCGACTGGAAGGAGGGAGGGGCCACCGAGAAAAGCACCCCAGGTCTGGGTCCCCCAACCTGCTCCACTCTGCATCCAGCTACAAGAGCCGGGAAGATGGCTACTACCGGAAAGAGCCCAGAGCAAAGTTGGACAAGTATCTAAAGCAGCAGCAGGACACCCCAGGGAGATGCAGGAGGAAGGACGAGGCCAGGCCGCGGGAGAGCAGACACCCCCACCCCGATGATTCAGGCAAGGAAGACGGGCTGGGGCCAAAGGTCACTAGGGCCCCTGAGGGCGTCAAATCCAAGCAAAGTGAGAAAAATAAAACCAAGAGACCTGATAGAGACCAAGAAGGACCTGATGATAGAAAAGAAAGCAAAATGGCAGAGAATGAGGTAATGATGCAATCTCTTCCCCAGGTAAGATGAGGCAGGTCCCAAAGGAGGATAATAATAATAATACACTGATGATGAACATTTGTTGAATGAATGAACGAACATTTATTGAATGTGTACTATGTGCCAGGCACTATGCTAAACA